GAAAACCCCACTATCTTCCCAAACTACCCTTAAATACACCCCAAGTTGGAAAATAAATAAATAAATGTTATAAATCCATACATTATGGGTTTATAGGTTATGGATGCCCACAATAATATCCATCATTATATATTTGTAACCTACCAATATATTTGTAACCTATCAATTATGGGTGGTAGGTGATTTAGGTCTCTCTACCCCTATAAATAGTGGCACCAAATATGAATGAAACACAAGTTGATTTGAGCAAATTATACTGTCTCTTTCTTCCTCTTATTTCTCCCTACAAATTCCCTAGTTTCACAACACAATTTACTTTTTCAATGTTCTCTTTTATTAATGATTGTTCAGAAAATGGAGTTGCTTAATATCTAATCTTTTAATTTAAAAGCATGCTAAGTCAGTTCTTTGAGGCTATGAACCTAGGGGAAACCATTAAGGAAGGCAATGAGGCATCCTCTGTGGATCAAGCAAAAGCCATGATTTTTCTCAGACGCCACATCCATGAAGGCTTGAAGTGTGAATACCTTACTGTCAAGGATCCGTTGGCCCTTTGGGGAAATCTCAAGGAAAGATATGACCATCAGAGGACATTTATTCTTCCTAAGGTTAGCCATGATTGGATGCACTTGCGTCTACAAGATTTCAAATCAGTGGCTGACTATAATTCTGCTATGTTCAGAATTAGCTCCAAGTTAAGACTTTGTGGAGAAAATATAACTGATGCAGACTTATTGGAGAAAACTTTCACCACATTTCATGCCTCCAATGTGGTTTTGCAACAACAATATCGAGAGCGAGGTTTCCATAAGTATTCAAACCTCATATCTTGTCTACTTCTAGCTGAACAGAATAATGAGCTTCTGATGCAGAACCATCAGTCCCGTCCAATTGGATCTGCACCATTCCATGAAGTGAATGCTGCCTTGGCACCATCTCATAAGGCATATGCTACCTCATCACATGGCGACTGTCGTCGAGGACGTGGTCGTGGTAGGGGTACCCGTAATGGTCAAGTCCAAAATAGTAATAGCCACCGCTTGGGTCCAAGAAATACCCAAGCATCTCATAACCACCAGAAGTGGAACAAACAAGACAAGGCAAATGGCTCCCAACCTTCA